ATATATAAATATAAATAATATGGATAATATGATAATATGGATTAAAAATATTTAGTACATATATAAAATGTATTTTTTATATAAAATAACGGCAAAAATTATGCATATATATATTATTTGTGTCGTCATTAGTCGTTATTTTAAAAAAGCTTACATTTTATATATTAAAATCGTCGAGGAATGAATATTTTACGAGATATTTTACAACTTATCTTAGAATAACATACAAAGGATGGATTTTATCACAAATTAGACGAAAACAAATCTTTTTTACAAGTCTTTTTACAAATCTTCAATGATTCGTTTTTTTTTCTTCCCTTTTTTTAATGATTGATTTATTAAAGCAATTCAATTGTAGCCGTTGTATCAATTTTGAACTTGTAGCAATTATAGAAAACAGTTGTGACGGAAGCTATGCCTAGTGAAATTCGGTTATAAGATGTAACACAAAATTTCAGTGTGACAAGTTGAGTTCGATGATTTTAAAACTTGACCACTAAGATCACTGTGAAATCTAGTTATACGGAAACACTCGTCAAAAACTGGGAGAATCATTGCAAGCTCCGCCGCCAACGTATATGTATTACAATATGTATATCGTTGGCTTGTACGTGTAAAAATATATATATTTACATATATAAATATATTTATATATATAAGTATATATATTTATATATGATGCACACATATATATATACGCATATGCATATACACGAAGGAAATATTCTCTATTATTATATTACTGAATCCGCGTACGAAATGATAACAGCAGCACCATTGAGAATCGTTAGGTCGCGTCACGATGAATTCATGTCATGACATAGAGCTCTGTTCCATGCGGCTGCACGTCTCGGCGTTGTAGCATATTATGATGTAGTACGGAGAATGCAGCGGCGGAGAACAGATTTGCAGGAAAATGTACAAAAGAAGTACAGCGACGCGAAACTCTCTGTCTCGTACAGCTTGAACGACCATCCTTTCATTCTAATTAGTGTGTATATTAGACGTCATTTCTCTCTCGAACGAAACACAACTCGTCGATGTCATGTAATGAATGAAATGAGATGAAAGAAACTGACACACACAGTAATTTTGTATTCCACGTCGTCGCAATCAAGACTCTTCGTAACTGAAATTTTCTACATTTTCTACGAGATATGCTTGCCGTGGAAGCTTTACAATTGTTCGCACCGTGCAAGTAGCAGTCAGTACTGTGCTACAAGTCGAAAACTATTGGCGCTAGATAAAAAAAATTATTGCATATTTTCTTTAGAAGCGACATGTTCTATTGATCGACAATAGTTGAGGCAACAAGTGAAACAAAATATTAGTGTGAAAGGAAAAATGTTATCTGCAAACAGCATCGATTTCCGAGTGGTACAAATGTATATCCGGTTTTCGAGATGTTCTGTCGCTAGCTAAAAGTAATCGATAGAGCTGGAAGTTAGACGATTATTACGAATTTTACCGAGATTGCTGTGCATGACGAAGCAAATTCAATGTCCGTCCAATCTTTCGCGAGAGAGCACTGCTTAGCGTGCGGATTTAGTATTACGTTATAAGTATTAACTTCGTTAGAGTCCCTGACGCCGGGTCCGGCGATTTTTCATCCAGGATGGACAGTCGGGTTTGCCTCGTTCTAGAGATATACGACGTCAGTGAACTTAATCGGATTCTCAGATCTATTAGCGGATACACACACATACACGCATACGTACACGCTGTAGAATACTATTTTGTACAGTAAAGGGAGATGAGAGAGCGAATTCATTCGCGTATAACGAAAGCGGTTATTTCGTTAAGTATTTTCTTCTCAGTCGTGATTGGAGCGTTATAGATTTTTAATCATTGATCTTACACAAAAACACAAACACACAAACACACACACACCCACACACACACATGTACACGTACACGCGTCTAGATATTATTTTTTTTTATTATTAATTAATTGAATAATTATATCTATATCATCACTAAAGCTTAGATTAGGTTTGAGCTCTCTACTAAATATGGAATTAGAAAATATTTTTTATAATTATTACAATTTGAATATCGCTATTATTATTATTATTATTATCAATAATAATATTATTATTAATTATTATTACTATTATTATTATTATTATTATCAGCGATGTTAATCGAGTATATTCAATCATTCGATACTCCTTTTTTCTCGTCTTTTGTTTTTTTTTGTCATAACTTTTTCTTAAGATCTTTCTCGAGTATAGAGTTATTTTGCGAATAAACGCCATGAGTTTGTTTCAATAATGATAAGGCCGAGGCTTTTTATATACGTGTTTTTTTTATGTATCAGTATTCTACGGGTTTAATTTTAGTCAATAAGTGATTGTTTAACCGACGCTACTTAAAATCCCCGATACGATGGCGAGATTCACATTACTTAATTATTAAATTATTGACTTTATCTTCCTTTTTCTTGCCCGCTTTTCTTCCCCTATCCTTGTTTTTGTACGTCTATTTTTACAGTATCCCTTCCGCGTTTCCCTTGGAATATTATTTAAACGCTAATTTATTATATTTTACACGTGCAACACACATCACACACTTACACATAAACACACATACAAATACACACACAGCATCTTTTAGCGAATTTTGGCGACAACTGGCTTAATAATTTATTATTATTATTAGCTCTTAACTGGTGTCGCGGACTAGTCTGTGCCATTCAATCGTATTCCCGTTGAATCTTCGATATTTTACGCTCTTTCAACCCTTCATTTAGTTTACATCGATCCTATTGTATATTACTGTTTACTATTTATATTACTTTTTACTATCGTGTACAACGATGACAGGCACAAAAGTTTCCGAATTGTGTTTTTTTAGTGGGAAAAAAACAAAAACAAAAATGAACGGCCTGACGGATTCCGTGACACCAGTTAAGAGAAAAGAATAAGATGATACTAGTTAAGGATTAACTATTATGAACGGGAGACACACGATTATGTATTAATGTGCAGGCTTCTTTCTGTCTCCAAACCCTTTCTTTCCTATTGACGGGCGTACAATGAAAGAATCGCGTGATGGTATCACACTTCCAAGATCTGTCGATTCAGTTCTGATCGGGAACGAAAGGGTTACATTTGTAATTAGTTCGTAACGATTAGACACTTATCATATGCTTGTATGTTAGTTTATTCGCATCTGTTTGCCTGTAATCGCCTTGATTCGCGAGCAGCGTTGTCGGCGCTTTAGGGTGCCTTTGCCCGCTTTTGTGGATTCACGCGACATCAAAATCGATTGGTTTCTCGACTCGTAAAGCGTAAACTTCATTGTCGACATTTGTACGATGGAAAAACGTCCTTCATAGGCGGCATAATTGTAAGCGTAGAAAGGAAGAGCTTGTATAGAAACGCGCCGGTCGGGCCGAACCGGATTAGGTGGACGATGGTTTTCGATCTATCGATTATCGTCGATAAGATTGCTGAAATTTCAAGCGATTTTCAATTGACTCGAACTGCGCGATGCAAAGGCCGATTTGAAACAATCTTTTGAACAATTCGCCCGTTTTCTACCATCGCATAATTCTTCGCGGTAAATGAAACTCAACACTGGTGAAAATGCATTATTTATAATGAAATAGTAGTTTAAGGAATAATTATTTATATAAAAGTATAGAAAAGGAACTCCATAACGAGTAAAAAAGAGTGTTGAGCGATGAAGAATAACTCGTTCCAGTGGACAAATAATAAGGTTGTAGCACACAATGACGATCATCCACCATTATCCATTCTTTAGCTCGGTTTAGCTTTGACAGCATCGTATTCGCATAATGCGCAACTGTATTTGTATTCCGGTTTGTCTCCACACTTGAGCTCTTCCTTCTCATTAAGTATTAATTCGAATTGATCGACTGAACGTTATTTTTCTATTACGGATGTAATACAATAATATTAATACGACGGATGACAATGAACTGCGAGAGGAATCGCGCGAAATGTATATTTTGCACAAGATGCCGCGGCGAACCGCGAAGCTCGGATCGATGAAAAAAGGAACTTTATCCTCATTCTATGAAACTATTATTAAATCTCAGTATCGCGGCGTCCTCGTGTATGTCTCGGGGAAGAACCAATGAATGTAACCAGAATATGCGGCCAAGCTCAAGTAATATGTGCCAAAAAGATAAGGATTTATCTGAATCTGTGCTCAAAACACACTCGATCTATTTCTCTCTATACATTCCAAATTGTTAAATGTATTGAATGAGAATTTAGAACGCATTTTTCTTCGACGTTACATCTTAAAACACTTTCTGTTGCGTAGCAAAACTTTGATATGGAAGTATCTTATGTAGAACTTTTTACACGGCACTTTGTGTTCGAGAAAAAAAACTCGAACGTTAATTTTATCTTTCTTTCTTAAGTTTACGTAATTTGATAAATAGATGTATTTCGAGTTTTACCTCAGAGTGAGTATAAATATAATATTAAGAGAGTAGAGATAATAATTTATTTGGCTTAAAGTATTATTTTTGAAGAATGTTCCATTGATTTCTTTTTGCATTGCCCTGCTTGTGCTAAAGTAATCTTTTTGGTTGTATTATGTCGAGCCGTTCTGTGCATATTCGTTCGGCACCACTTTTCAGTTACAATTGCGTGAAAGGAAAGGAAATTGATCGTTCGTCGCAACGAGATGCAGCGGGATACACGAGGATCTCGCGATATCAATTAAAAATTAAGAGCGTTGAAGCGTGCGAAACATAGCAATAGCGAGAAATTACTTTTGTATCTATGATGTATGCGTAAGTTAGTTCGGGCTAAGGCCAGCAGCTGTTGAGATTATTCAAGGTTGTGTGTATCATAAGTATTTTGAA